ATGGTTTGACAGTGTGACAGCAACTAGGTCCGGCGTCTTTTCATACTAGATAGATATGATTTAAGAAAGCAGTCTGCATGATGCATTCCACCGATATTCCTCGTGATTTTTTCTGCATTGCCATGTGAACAAGTCGGTACATTCTGCTCCTAAAATGTTCCACGTTCTTAAGTGAGATTCATGCATACTCCAATGGAACGAAAGTTCAGGAAAGTGGGATTAATTAACTTGGCTGAGAAGTCCTATTAAAATTGCATGATAAACATTAAAAATCCACGTGAATCACAGTGAATGGATGGACGGAAGACTAACAGACAGACCAGCGGCAGAGTGCATTCAAGGGGCCGACCGGTGCCGGTTGTTTACTGACTGAAGTAACACGTAGGCTTCGTGCAAGCTGATTAAATCATAGTGCCAAATCAACAACGAATCGTTTGATTAACCATCTAATGGTCAGGTTTGGTAAAGCGTTTCTATCTATCCCATACAGTTGCTTGCTTTAATTGGAATTGAATAGCGTGGAACAGTAGGTAGCACGCAACAAAGATGACTTAGCAATTTTGGAGTGATTTTGTTTCAACGGTTCTTTATCCCAATGCAATGCTATCTTTCGAAATTACAATGCGAATACAGTCCCACCCCATCCCGCATTACGCGCTTTTAACTGATGCTTCAAACCACTTGCTGACTTTGAGTATTGCACATAACGCGGGATCCGGTGTATTGTATTTCAACAAAAATTTTGTACAATTTAATTCTGGAAAGGATCAGTCGGAGTCGCACCCAGGCATGAGACCAATTTACTCCTCTGCTCAGCGTTCACTCTACCAACCAGGCAGTGGTCTGCCATTCTGATTTTTTTTCACATTGAATTACGCACCCAACTCACATGAACACATCAGACAGCGAACTACCATGTAGGTTCACACTAGACGCAATGAAGCCCACCAGATGAACTCTAGGGTTCAATAAATTGTACTAAGTTCGTTGGTCTAGTTTACGGTTTAGGACAAAGTTAACGACGTTCTATTGGTAGAATGGTAGAACTCGAAATTCGAGATGTTCACAACATGTGAAGATAAAGATGATTGCAAGTGGGGAGTGTGTCGGGAAACATAATCGATCGATTCAGGGATGTAAACCTCCCGGATGAAAAAAACATTTGGCCTCAAGTCCAGCAAAAATAAGATTACTGTAGGTTTCGGAATCACATAACTGATGATACAGTACAACGAACAACACAAAGAACTTACAGTATTGTGTTGAACCTTGAATTCGCCATCCGTCAGCTGTGATAGATAGAATAACGGGGAAATGTTTTGCAATTTTATGGGATCAGTTAAAGGGATGCTTCCAGAATTTTGAAGAACTTGAGGTAATTCAAACGCATTGGTAATAAATACATCAAAATAGGTCAGTTACAAAACAAAATGTTTAAATGTATGTTTTTCAATGAGTTCATTCCTAAACCATTACAAGCACACTCGGACAATACGTGATCCCGATGGCCGGGCTGCTTCCGAGTTAAGCAGCCAAGTGAGGGAAGAAATATGAAGAGTTTCCCCTGTAGTGTTTCCCTATGTTATGCGTGCGCATATTTTCCACGGAAAGTTCCATGATACAGTGTAGTATTTAATCCATCTACGAACGATATAATCTCCTTGTTTTCTACGGAAGGATCTTGAACGAGTTAATTGAGTCTAATGGTGACGATAGAATAAAACCATATACTAACAGATTCGGTCATCACTCGTATTCGATATCCGAGTGTTTAAAAGCCATTTTATGAAATGTTGTACAGCATTGTGAAATCGATTTCGACATCAGTTAACTTTAGCTGAGATGTTGTGAATGAGGACCTTGGTTTGAGCTGCTCTTGTCCACATAGAACAAAGAGTGGCGAACAAGCTCGTTTTCAGTTATTCGTAGTCAAGCCAAATACACCACAACAAATATCACGCTGTTTATATATGTATCGATATTCGAACGTAAAAACCCGAACAGGTGTTGTTGAAAAGTGAAAATTGCCGTTGTTATCTGGGGGCTAATTTTGTCTTCGGAACGGATGTGGAATTCTCAATGATCACATAATTATAAGGTCATCTGATCGATGGGACTATTCGGGATACGGGGTCTGTGAGGAGGGGGGGGNTGGGGTTGGGGGGGGTGGTGGTGGTGGTGGTGGGTGGTCCAAGGGATCTTAAACGCTTTCACAAATTGTTTTTCGGGAACACAGAGGGGGGTTGTGCAGACGACTTCCTACCGCTTCCGTTGTAACCAGGTGTTTATTATGTTGAGTCACAATGGGCTACATACATCCGTTTTGTTATTCAAGCATCTATCTACTAAGACTTAAATCAACGAATTTACCTAGTTAGCAGATCAACGTTGTACAGTACATTGGTGTTGGGGCAGACGAGAAGTGAACTTTCAAGTGAAGATAAAGAAAGACCGTTCAGTGCCAGATGGAGAACAAACGCTTATTTTGCCAAAACCGGGGTCGATGCATAAGCCAGTCAGGAGCTGATCTAATTGTCTACCAATAAATTGAAACAAATTTATCATTCTGAGACCTCCATCAAAAGTTTAGAAAGGAAAGGTTTTGAACGCTCGTGCTATTGCATGAGCGCGGTGTTTGAAGCACAAATAGGCGTGAGACAAAACTGGAAACACAGTTTGCTAAGAGTGGCTATTCGTATTTCTCGGGTATATTGTTTCTCTGATGTCAATTTGGGACGTTTGGCTGCGCATTGAACTCCTCGGGACAACTTTTCGATTTGTCTGGTCATGGAATTGTGTTGCAACACCGATGTGCCATCTATCATTCTGCATATGTTTGCACAATTAATTGGATCATTAGTCCTATGCGTCACACACCGCAAAACAGGTTTTGAAGTCACGTGCCTTGGGGGAATGAGTCCAGCAATCAGGTTTTTGTGGTGTCGTTGTTGAACCGATAAAAAACACGAATACGACAGCTTTCGTTAGAAAACGAGCCGGGCCACGGAGGAAATCAATGCTTTGCTGGTTTTGTGCAAGCGCCCATAACTCATTATATTCGAGCAATTCATGTTAGCTACACTATCAGTTTAATTAAACCATGTAAACAGTATAATGAGGCCAATCTATTAACCTGTCTTTCAGAAACTGCAGCGTCAAATAGAAAAGCCAACCACTAGGATGGTGTTACTGCTGGATGTTAACGGGACCAGAATAGCGCTGAGACTGTATTTGGTAGAGAAGAAAAGGGATAAGATATTCTTTGCTCCAGGAGGAATCGAGAACGCTTGTATGCGGATGAAATTAGTACAGGAGTTAGGATCAATTAATTTTTATACGTACGATGTCCATAAACCATAACCATAAATACTATTATTTTTTTAATCTGTGACATGAGTTAAGAAATTATTGACAATGATTCCGATCAATAGTTTCGACCAATAACCTCAGGAGGGAGGACGGAAGCTTTGAGTGATACTTGGTCAGAATATCTTTAAGGTCCGTCATCCGAACAACAGACATCTAAT